ATCATGACCTGAGCTGAAGGCAGATGCTTAACCGACTGAGCCACCCAGGCGAGGGATGGAAATTCTGACATATGCTGCCACATGGATGAACCTTGAGGACGTTATAGTAAGTTAAACAAGCCAGTCACAAAGAAGATAGGTACTGGATGACTCCACTTATGTGAGGTCTCAAAAGTAGTCAAATTCCTGGAGACAGAAATTGCAGCAGTGGTTTCAGGGGCTGGGAGGAGGGGGGAATGGGGAGTTGTTCTTTAATGGGTATGGTTCAAGTTCTGCAGCTTGAAAAGAGTTGCTCTTGTTTACTACATGTCAAAAATAATCTCGTACTCATATTTTTAGAAAATATCCAGGACATATGGCCAAGTCACAGGTGCCTGCAGCTCTGAACCCCACAGGGACAGCACTGTATGTCTGGGGAGGAAGTGGCACCCTGGGTGGAGACCATGTCACGGGACGGACCACATCAGGCCCAGCTGTCTTGTCTCCAGTTCCCCCAATACAGATGGTCACTAAGCATTTGGGGAATGAATGAATGAATGAGTGAATTAATGAATGAATGGCTCCTGCCTTCTCTTCACCCAGGATCCCTTCTCTTCTTCTGCCCCAGAGGCTCACACAGACCTAAAGAACCCTCCACCTTGCAAGACAGAACACCTGAGGGTCTAGATGAGGCTGTGACCTTCCAGGTCTAGCCAGGAGTTGACTAGCTCCCTGGTGTAGACGATGCTGCTCAGACAAGCCCCTCAGGTGGGAAGACCTTAGGAGATTCATTGTGTCCCATGCCTCACATGTCCTCAGAGGTCCTGGTCCAGTCTCCGGTGCCAGAGGGAGGTGCCGAGATGGGGGGCAGGACACGGGGTCTGCTGCTGGTGTCTCCTCCCTGGATGGGGCTCCCTGGTCTCTGGCAGGCAGGGGGCAGGGGTCTCCGGCTTTGTGCAGAGATGGGAGGAGCTCTGGCGCTGAAGTTCCTCTTCTGAGAACCACAAGGCCTTGTGCTCCTCCCCAGCTTCCCGTGGGTCCCCCGCAACCCTCCTCCACTGCTCTCCACTTCTTCACCCACAGGAAGCCCACACATCTTCCATCTCAAAGATGCTGCTGCCGCCGCTTTTTCTGCCCCTGCTGTGGGCAGGTGAGTGGGCCGAGGGGAGGGGGCCAGGTGGGCGGGGCTGCTGCTGACCTTCGATTCCCCACAGGGTCCCTGGCTAAGCGTTCAATGTTCCGGCTGCAAGTGCAGGAGACCGTGAAGGTGCAGGAGGGCCTGTGTGTGCATGTGCCCTGCAAATTCTCCCACCCCCGACGAGAATACACTGACGATGACCCAGCTTATGGCTACTGGTTCCAGGAAGGAAGTGATCACAGCCAGGATGTTCTAGTGGCCACAAACAACCCCGATCGAGATGTGCAGGAGGAGACCCAGGGCCGATTCCACCTCCTCGGGGACCCCCGGGACAACAACTGCTCCCTGGACATCAGAGATGCACAGAGAAGGGACTCGAGGACATACTTCTTTAGGGTGGAGAGAGGGTCTTATGTGAAATATAATTACCTACAGAACCAGCTCTCCGTGCGTGTGACCGGTAAGGAACGGGGTCAAGGAGAGGACACATGTCCCATGCATGGATCCTGAGGGCTCCTGGGGCAGGGCTGGGAAGGGACCCCCTGGTCTCCATCCTGGCTGGGGAGGAGACGGCTGGCCTGGGGT